CGCCATTCTCGCGGACTGCATCCAGAAGGTCTGCTCAATACAGGGACAACGAGCTACATCCGGCAAGACAGGACAAGAGGAGCAGACGTCGGCGTTCCACGTCTAGAGTGGGACTTGGATGAAGGGAATGGAGAAGTACCTCGCAGTGGACCGCTGCGTGGAAAAGGTTCAAGGACAGGTAAGGAGTCTCTAGGTCGGAAGTAGGGGCTCAGTCGTGTTTTTCCTTCTTAAACAAGAAGCATTCGGAATTCATTAAGTTACTCTAAGAGTTATTGCGTTAGTTCTCGTTCCTACGTCGGCCTGATAGATACACGACCCCGACACTAAGGAGGAGGACCGCGACACACAGGTAAACTAGTTGATCAACGGAACGATCAAAGCGCGATATCCTCGATCATGACGCGCCATAAAATGTTAGCCGTACCAAAGCCCCTTTTCACACGCCAGCACTATTACGACTTCCAGTTTATCGTGCCATTGCGAAGATACAAAACTCGCAATCTCTTCGTATTACACGAATGTTTGCTATTTGTCTGCCACAACGACTAAATCGCTCAATGTCGTCTTGTACTCGCTCCAGTTCGCTTTCATGAGACAAAGCATTTCTGCTCAATCTTCGTCTAGACGAGTTCGTAATTGGTTCACCACATACCCACTAAGACTGAAAAATCGCTCTTGAATTGCTGTTGACCACGGTTTCCGAAGATAAACCCTTGCCAATGCTGCGATAGCAGGACGCTCGCGCTCTGCATAATCTCTAAACCAGGCCAGGACATCAACTTCACGGTACAGGTCCAGCGCATTATACTTGCCATCCTCGACTGAACACGACCATCTCACTGCGAGATTTTTCCATTTGATCCAGGCGTTTATCGCTTCTTGGTGAATGTCGTTTTGCTCGGTCCTTAAATTGTCTGCTTTTGAAGGAACTTCAACGTCTAGTAGGGACTTCATTGCGCTTTGAATTGCGCTTCGCTGTGAGGTTTGATGTGTTGTTCCGGCTAAGTCAATTGTCTGGTCGTTGTTGTTTTTGTCGCTCAACTTCATCATCCTGTACACTTTTCTCGTGTTCAAATTGTAGCTCAATCTCTGCTGAGGCTAGGATATCAGGATCGGAAACAATATAAGCAGCTTTAGCTTTAATCCGTGGGTCCAAAAGCATAGCTTTGGCATCGTTAATGTCTTGCGTTGGAAATCGAAGAGGCAGTTGCTCCCTTAATCGATCTCGACACCGTTTTCCGCCATCTAAAAAATCACTCATCTTCTCATCTTTGTGAAAACTCTGTCGTTCCTAATTGAGGTCGTTCCAGAACCAAGCAGCTGAACGATTCCAAATCCACAGTCACCGCAAGCATTTTAGGAAAGAGAAGCAAATAGGAACTTGCAATATTTGTTTTTTGAACCTTACCGAGGCTAAACTGGGCCAGTTGATCCGTTAAAGCTTCCATTTCAGTAAT